TTATATCTAAAATGTTTGAAAGACACACTAACAATCTGCTAACTTTTGAGCTTGGAAGCGGCTTTTTGCATTATGCACAAATCAGTTGTGGTATTCATTCCCCGGGCTACTTATAGTATTGCGGTATATAGTGATACATGCTTTCAGTGCGTTTCACACTGCCAAATTTAAACGTACCCAACACATTTCATCAAACTTCTGTGCGTTGTATTTAAGCGTGAAGTCCTACAGTAGATCAGCCTGTACCACGGAATGGAGGACACTCTCTGTATAGTTTTCTTATTTAGAATCGTGCTCGTGGTGAATACTCCACCAGAGAGTAAGTGTCCGCAAGACAAGTTCAAAGAGTAGCATTCATACTATTGGCATAAAAACGACAAACTTGTGAATTTGATGCAGACAAATTCATCTATTGTCAATCGCTGGTGTGCTTTAAATTCCCTTTGTGGCTATGAGCTCTCTATGAACATTACACAAGCAATGCTATATGCATGCGTATAAATGTCACTGACGTTTAAGCGGATATGTATAACACTTACAGTGGGGGATATGTGCAAGTGTTGTAAGTTGCATTCATTCCATCTGTGACTGAAAGTCAAAAGTTCTGCAGTGCGTGTTTCGTATCTTGACGGCTTGTGAAGCTATGAAGGTCTCAGACCTACAGCCTGGAGGGGTCAATAAAGCGACCACCCGTGACGGTCCGGGTTAGAATGAGCCTTCAGTAACCCATGCTTGTCGAAAGAGGCGACTAACGGGATCGGGTGGTCAGGCTCGCTGGCTTGGTTGACACATGTCATCGGTTCCCAATTGCGCAGATCGATGCTCATACTGTTGATCACTGGATTGTCTGGTCCAAACTCGATTATTTCCAGACCGCCGCCATATAGCTGGAATATTGCTGAGTGCAGCGTAAAACTAAACTCACTCACTCACTCAATAAAGCGACCATTTGGCAAAAACCTCTCCATAGACTCCATCATCAGCTCAACCTAATCTTGCATAAAGTCACCTTACTTCAACTACGGATATGACACTTTCGAACATATCCACTTCCTCCATGGGTTTGCCTCTCTCCTACATTCTTACAGAAATCTACATGAGCCATCCACATCCCCTATCCAACCTGTTTGCATGTATAGGAAGTTGGATGCCACTTTTGTTATTTTCAGAAAAGACCAGGCCCCCCACCTCACTACCCCAGCACATCAACGCACAAATCACCCAATCAGGTTCATCATAGAGACAACTGTCTTCATTTCGAGACGTCCTTGTATCGAGAGACCCCAGTAAAATGATCCAAACCACAGTCTACAGGAACCCCACCCATTCTGACCAGTACATTCATTTCAACTCCAACCATTCCCATAAAACGAAATCTGCTATCATCTCAACCCCGACCAAGCGTGCCAAGAACATCTACTCCAGCAGCCGTAACCTTAATCGTCTGCAGCACCTCTTCATCAACCTCAAAAGGTATCCCACCATGTTCGTCAAGAGAACCATTTCGACCACACTCCAGTCCAAACCGACCAAGAATGAATCCAACTTCATCAGTATACTCTACCCTGATCAAATCAGATTACATGTACTTAACATACGTTAATTTAAGACTAACTTAAGCACCAAGCAGTCATCGGCACATCGTCTTCACTGACTCTCCATCCCTCAGAACCTTCCTCCAAGTTAATGGCCGTAATCCACCCTCCAAAGAGAATGGAGATTACAATGGCGTTGTAGGATGTTTAATCTTGTCCTTTATAAGGATCCCTTGTGCCGTGAGAACTCCTACAAGCCATGTTGAACAAGAAATAAGACTACTGGTCAGAAAAAATTCGAATTGTTCTGGAATTTAGCATCGACTATGCTGTTCACGCCAAACTTGTGTATATAGCTGGTTTTACAAATTATCATTGTAGCTGCGCTATAGTATTTAGCTTGTTGTCTTGCATAATGGTTTGCATCTGTTCATAACCTTTTCACGTACTCTGTCAGCACATCTTCTTTATTGCAGCTTTTCAAGGCTAAAAGTACTTTCAATGAATTATGTAGCGAGACAAAAAAAACTTCACACGTTGCCCATGGACACCATAAGGATTGAAACTCCCTTTGGCTCATCCCTTGATGAACATCAAATTATGAAAGATGACTGCATTCAGTCCATGTTTGTTATGCCGATTCTGCTGAAACAGTTGACACATTCCTTATGTTAGCTGGCCACCATGCTGCCCCATCTGCTTCAACAGCTCTCACACTAAAGGACCGCCTACATTACAATGTGTTTACTGTTGCTACAGTAGTTAGCTCTTCCCCTTAGGTAAAAATGGATCACTAATGGCACCTTCTGCTCATATGTCTTAATCATTAGGAAGCTAAAGAACACTACCGCCACCAGGCAGAATGATTTAAAACACACATACATCAGTGTTTTACATAGAAACTGAATTGAAGGTGTTTCAGTAAACATAATCGCAATTCTGCGTAGCTTCTTTTTTAGCTGAGCGAATCGAAATGTTACACCAAGGTGCTGTGTTTCTATATTTCTGTCTTCCAGCTGCATGTGGCAGCTTTCAACATCTCACGGCCTTCTACCCTGTGTATAATACGTCCTACTCTGGTATTTTATCTGCCGATAGTATTATTCAATCAACAAGCTCATCTGCCCATTTTAGAATTACAACATAAAGCTCATCTATCTATAGCAAAATCACTCCTTCAACATCATCTGTCTATAGCAGAATCACATCTCGCTCATCAACCTACACCAGAATCTCAGCCTCAAACACATCTACGTGGATCGGAATCACAACATAAAGCACATCTGCCTACAAAAGAATCTGAACATCAAGCACATCTGCCTATAGCAGAATCATATCTATATCTATATTTTAAATATGCTGACTGTATAACATTTGCATAAAATGTAAAGTTAACTTTACCACGTCCAGATACTGGAAGGGGAGGCTGGTCTGTGACAGGGTCTCGGAGCTGTAGATGCAGTTGCAGCAGTATGATGTGATAAACTGGTAAAGTCAATATATTCTATGGTTCAAATGTATGTAAACACTGCAAGGAGAAGGAAACACTACAACACCCTTGACTTTATCCCATTTTTCGTCCGTGCACATTTCCACTGTTATGTAATTATGCAAAACATCTTTTTGTTATTCCAAGAGTGAGAAATCGTGACACGTGGACAGATTGTGAAAATATTGTGAATAAAATCTTAATTGATGATCTTAAACTTACTGACATTAACATACAGAGCACACCGTATCATGAAAGGAAAGGCTATCATAGTCAAAGTCGGCGACGATAAGGATAAACACTCTATATTGAAAGCATCTAAAGTGTTGAAAGAGTCAAACAGAGTCAACAAAGATTTCCCACAACTTGTCCGTCAAAAACGTAAGAAACTGATTCCGTTTATGATCAAGGCCAGGGAAAATGATCGTAAGGCACAATTGCGTTTCGATAAAGTATATATTGAGGACAATGTTTACACTTACGATGTGACGTCAGATGTTGTCATCACGATAAAACGGGGGAGAAAGGCAGGCATTGAGAGTGAAACGCATGCACTTGAAATCGACAACACGCACGCCTAGCAGGGCATGGCTTGGCCCAACAGTCACCAACTGACGACAGCTTTGGTTCGTGGTTGAGATTTACATCTCCTGCAAAGGAATGTGCATGGACTCGTGCATCAGTCTGTGTTGTATTCCACTACATGTAAAGATAGGGAAGGTTGTATTCAGTAAAGATAGGGCATCAGTGTGTTGTATTCCACTACATGTAAAGATAGGAAGGGCATCAGTGTGTTGTATTCCACTACATGTAAAGATAGGGAGGGCATCAGTGTGTTGTATTCCACTACATACATGTAAAGATAGGAGGGCATCAGTGTGTTGTATTCCACTACATGTAAAGATAGGGAGGGCATCAGTGTGTTGTATTCCACTACATGTAAAGATAGGGAGGGCATCAGTGTGTTGTATTCCACTACATGTAAAGATAGGGAGGGCATCAGTCTGTTGTATTCCACTACATGTAAAGATAGGGAGGGCATCAGTCTGTTGTATTCCACTACATGTAAAGATAGGGAGGGCATCAGTGTGTTGTATTCCACTACATGTAAAGATAGGGAGGGCATCAGTGTGTTGTATTCCACTACATGTAAAGATAGGGAGGGCATCAGTGTGTTGTATTCACACTACATGTATTCCAAATGTAAAGATAGGGAGGGCATCAGTCTGTTGTATTCCACTACATGTAAAGATCAGTCTGTTGTATTCCACTACATGGGCATCAGTGTGTTGTATTCCACTACATGTAAAGATAGATAGGAGGGCATCAGTGTGTTGTATTCACTACTAGGGCATCAGTGTGTTGTATTCCACATGTAAAGACAGGGAGGGGCATCAGTCTGTTGTATTCCACTACATGTAAAGATAGGGAGGGCATCAGTGTGTTGTATTCCACTATTCCATGTAAAGATAGGGAGGGCATCAGTGTGTTGTATTCCACTACATGTAAAGATAGGGGCATCAGGGCATCAGTCTGTTGTATTCCACTACATGTAAAGATAGGGAGGGCATCAGTGTGTTGTATTCCACTACATGTAAAGATAGGGAGGGCATCAGTGTGTTGTATTCCACTACATGTAAAGATAGGGAGGGCATCAGGGCACGCACAGTGTGTTGTATTCACACTACACATGCACAACTGCTGAACTCCCGGTATGAATAATCGCTTCCCGTCGTTTTTGTCCAGCCCAGTGTGAACTAAACGTATTCTTTAAATTATCCTATGGTAAGATTACCAACCGCGGCATATTTTGAAGTGAAGGTTCTTGGCCTTTATTAACGTGAAGTAAAAGACCCTGAAGTTAATAAAAGCGAATCTCACACGTTGAAAGTGACAGTTCTGTTGATTTTGTGCCAGTGACGTAATTTGTGACGTCAGATGTGTTGTTGTAAAGAAAGACCAAGGAAACAGAGGGGTAATATGTAACATCATATTGCTTATTCAAATTGACGCACGCATGTGAAATATGTCTAAGCGGACGAAAATTACACAATAAAGTGACAATGTTCCCCTAAAATGCGGAAAGCTGCATTCATTTAATACCTGCAGCAAATCTTGTTGATTTCATGTCACTTGGGAAGCGTATTCTAATACACTTAGAAGGACACAATCTACTGCTGCTGAAGTTTTACATCACCGGAAACCGTCTTTCAATAATACATATTTCATATAAATTTATGTCAGTGATTGTGTTAGTATCTTGAAGACAATGTGCTGTCACATCTCGACGCCGAACTGACTAGATGCGTGCTGCAATTCATGATGTCGTATTGTGGACGTTCGCCAAATCAGTTTCACCTTAAAGAAGAGTTCAAATCGAGATGGATTACGTTGACGAACATTAGGTTTCCATACACCTCACTATAAGCAACTGACATGTAGAGAAGCATTAGTACAGAATATCACCGTCACACTCGAATATCTTCTCAAGATCTTTTGCATAAGAACCCATATATCTAGCTGGGCTTGCGTTTTCTAGCACATCGGATTGCTGTGAGTTATCCGGGTTGAGGCCGATCTCGGTCACAGACGGAACTGGAGACCCCGGTGGCATGCTGCTTCTAATGAAGTCATCAAACCGTCCGTCCTCTCTGCCAGTTGCGATCTGTGCGTGTGTAGGTGTGATAGTGTACACGTTCGCAGTGCCAATTGTGACAGCTGATGACGTGTGTTCATTTCTGTCTAACGGATATGAACTGGCAGATTGGTCACTCAAGTCTGTGGATTTGGCGAACTTGTTTAATGCTGGATATAGGCGACAGTCAGAAAAGAAGTCATCGAACTTGGCACCGGTCAAGGCCGTGGAGGCTGACATCTCACCCACAGCTTTTGGAACATAACCGGACATACGGTCCTCAGCACTGTTGTTGAAGGCACTGTGTTGTAAGAAGGGCACCTTTGTCGTGGCGGGAGGTTCCTCACGGAATATGTCACCTACGTGCCGGCGTCGGGGCAGGTTGTGATTGTCCAACAATCGGGCCACCATCTCAGCTTCCTCCTTATGTTCCCTGGGTGTCGAGTCGGAGCTGTGATCGCTGCTCACGTCGCTCCAGTCGGACTTCCTGGTCAATATTTTCTTACGGCTGTTCCTCTTCCGTGTTATGATAGTGTGTCGATGTTGCACACAGAAGCAGCTTAATATGGACGGCATTCTCCTTGCTGTAAACACAGAACACATGTATAAGCTTAATATGAGAGAGAATCGGTGTTGTAGTACCCATTATATAGTGTTGAAATGACACACTCTGTGCTGCTGCCCTATGCTGTCGTTGGTATTTGTAAGACAAGTGTCCTTCTCATCTGCCACAGGGCGATGTACTTCATGTCAATAAACCTTCTGTAACAGTGTAGACACATCTTCAAATAGTACCTTAGGGCAGCCGTAGCTCTGCTACTTCACGTGTGGTTGAGAAATATACAAAACTTTCGTGATATAAACAATGGTTTGCTGGAAGATGAAAGTCTCGCTTGATGTTTTTACAAAATGTACATGATCATAGATGTACATCCCCAGATAACACTACCACAGTGATTCCGATCTCACAAGTCGCGATCGTGTATCTAATACATTGTATCTGACCCGACATCGCTCCCAACAACAGGTCTGTTTGTGTAGATACTTAAAGCAGTTAGTGCAGATACTTACAGCAGTTAGTGTAGATATTTACAGCAGTTAGTGTAGATACTTACAGCAGTTAGTGTAGATACTTACAGCAGTTAGTGTAGATATTTACAGCAGTTAGTGTAGATATACAGCAGTTAGTGTAGATACTTACAGCAGTTAGTGTAGATACTTACAGCAGTTAGTGTAGATATTTACAGCAGTTAGTGCTAACTGTAGATATTTACAGCAGTTAGTGTAGATACTTACAGCAGTTAGTGTAGATACTTACAGCAGTTAGTGTAGATACTTACAGCGAATTGTGTAGATACTTACAGCAGTTAGTGTAGATACTTACAGCAGTTAGTGTAGATACTTACAGCGAATTGTGTAGATACTTACGGCAGTTAGTGTAGATACTTACAGCAGATACTTACAGCAAGTGTAGATACTTACAGCAGTTAGTGTAGATATTTACAGCAGTTAGTGTAGATATTTACAGCAGTTAGTGTAGATACTTACAGCAGTTAGTGTAGATACTTACAGCAGTTAGTGTAGATACTTACAGCAGTTAGTGTAGATACTTACAGCAGTTTGTGTAGATATTTACAGCAGTTAGTGTAGATACTTACAGCAGTTAGTGTAGATATTTACAGCAGTTAGTGTAGATACTTACAGCAGTTAGTGTAGATACTTACAGCAGTTAGTGTAGATACTTACAGCAGTTAGTGTAGATACTTACAGCAGTTAGTGTAGATATTTACAGCAGTTAATGTAGATATTTACAGCAGTTAGTAGATACTTAGTTAGTGTAGATACTTTTACAGCAGTTAGTGTAGATATTTACAGCAGTTAGTGTAGATACTTACAGCAGTTAGTGTAGATATTTACAGCAGTTTTCAGTGTAGATATTTACAGCAGTTAGTGTAGATATTTACAGCAGTTAATGTAGATACTTACAGCAGTTTGTGTAGATACTTACAGCAGTTAGTGTAGATATTTACAGCAGTTAGATTACAGTAGAGCTATAGAAACTGTAGTGACATATAGTCAGTGCCTCCTGTCACCCGTCCTGAAGGACAAACCTTCGCCAGCTATGCGTTTACCTGTTATGCAGTTAATCCCTGTAGCTCCTTCAAACAGGCCGTCATGAACTATGGCTTTCTATCTTACGGATTCATTCCGTATGATAGAATGACTATTATTCAAATGGAAAGGGACGCTGGACGGGAATGTCCATATATGGTATAATGACTATTACTCAGATGGAATATACCCACTTGGTCACATTGGTAGTCAAACACCTGTATATGTCATGCTGAATTGTTTCCCAGTATACACGATAATGATTTGTTGGAGTGAATTATGGCATTAAATTGTTACCCAAAATGAATAATATTGAAAAATGCCGTGAATTTGAGATTCTGTCAAGTATGATTCAGCAGTATTCTTCTCAACGCACTGCACAAAGCTCGGTGCAGCGGTCGTTCAGAGTGCATTCCCTTGAATGAGGATGTGACGATTTGCTATAGCAATGAACTGTGTTATGTAAGGATGTGACGATTTGCTATAGCAATGAACTGTGTTATGTAAGGATGTGACGATTTGCTATAGCAATGAACTGTGTTATGTAAGGATGTGACGATTTGCTATAGCAATGAACTGTGTTATGTAAGGATGTGACGATTTGCTATAGCAATGAACTGTGTTATGTAAGGATGTAGTCTGTCCAGCAGAAGAAATACAAGTAAATATGTCACGCTATGTGTTTTTATCTCATCAAACATTGATCTCATCGAGGCTGAGAAGAGAAGTAATGAGACTATGCTACTTTGCTTAGTGAAGCCTTGCAGTGAACTTTCCCAAGAAAAGACGTGCACTTTCCTATGTATGAGTGGTTATTTATACAGATCTACTTAACTGTGTGAAGCTCAACCCACCCTGTGAATAAACACTTGCTGGGACTGGACCCAGCAGAGATAAGGTCACGTCCCTTGCACTGCGAGCTGATAAATGATGATGCCACGCTGTGGTCGCATTTACTGGACTTATAAACTCTCTCTTAACACTTCAAAATCTTCCAAACAGAAAATATCATATTTACGTATACCATTTTAAGCATCTTGATACAAAAAATGCTATGATGTTATGAGAACAACATGTAACTGGGTTCAAGATGGTATGTTGAGTCATTTCTGCAAGCAAGTAAGCTTGCGCGTGTGTGTTTAAACTGTTCACCAGATGTCGATATATGTTTAAAACAAGGAGTCATCCCTCCTGATATATAAGGTGGGTGGTAGATTCTAAATGATGAAGATAGATTCTAAAGGTGATATCCTACATGTATCTTGCTCGGTGTCAGGTGGAGAGTTCTGTACATGATGTCAGGTGCTGTGATCTGTACATGATGTCAGGTGGAGTGTTCTGTACATGATGTCAGGTGGAGTGTTCTGTACATGATGTCAGGTGGAGTGTTCTGTACATGATGTCAGGTGGAGTGTTCTGTACATGATGTCAGGTGGAGTGTTCTGTACATGATGTCAGGTGGAGTGTTCTGTACATGATGTCAGGTGGAGTGTTCTGTACATGATGACAGGTGGTGTTATGTACATGATGTCAGGTGGAGTGTTCTGTACATGATGTCAGGTGGAGTGTTCTGTACATGATGTCAGGTGGAGTGTTCTGTACATGATGACAGGTGAGGTTCTGTACATGATACAGGTGATGTCAGGTGGAGTGTTCTGTACATGATGTCAGGTGGAGTGTTCTGTACATGATGTCAGGTGGAGTGTTCTGTACATGATGTCAGGTGGAGTGTTCTGTACATGATGTCAGGTGGAGTGTTCTGTACATGATGTCAGGTGGAGTGTTCTGTACATGATGATCAGGTGGAGTGTTCTGTACATGATGTCAGGTGGAGTGATCTGTACATGATGTCAGGTGGAGTGTTCTGTAGATGATGACAGGTGGAGAGTGTTCTGTACATGATGTCAGGTGGAGTGTTCTGTACATGATGTCAGGTGGGTGTTCTGTACATGATCTGTACATGATGTCAGGTGGAGTGTTCTGTACATGATGTCAGGTGGAGTGTTCTGTACATGATGTCAGGTGGAGTGTTCTGTACATGATGTCAGGTGGAGTGTTCTGTACATGATGTCAGGTGGATGTCAGGTTGAGTTCTACATACATGATGTCAGGTGGAGTGTTCTGTACATGATGTCAGGTGGACATGATCTGATGTCAGGTGGGTGATCTGTACATGATGTCAGGTGGAGTGTTCTGTACATGATGTCAGGTGGAGTGTTCTGTACATGATGTCAGGTGGAGTGTTCTGTACATGATGTCAGGTGGAGTGTTCTGTACATGATGTCAGGTGGAGTGTTCTGTACATGATGTCAGGTGGAGTGTTCTGTACAGGTGATGTCATGATGTCAGGTGTGTTCTGTACATGATGTCAGGTGGAGTGTTCTGTACATGATGTCAGGTGGAGTGTTCTGTACATGATGTCAGGTGGAGTGTTCTGTACATGATGTCAGGTGGAGTGTTCTGTACATGATGTCAGGTGGAGTGTTCTGTACATGGAGAGTGTTCTGTACATGATGTCAGGTGGATGACAGGTGTTCTGTACAGTGTTCTGTACATGATGTCAGGTGGAGTGTTCTGTACATCATGATGTGGGTGGTGGAGGTTCTGTACATAATGTCAGGGTTGAGTGTGTCTGAGGTTCTGTACAAGATGTCAGACTGTGTGATCTATACCCTGTGTGGTGGTGTGTTACATACAAGACGTCAGATTGTGTGATCTATACCCTGTGTGGTGGTGTGTTACATACAAGACGTCAGATTGTGTGATCTATATCCCGTGTGTGGTGTATGGTGTGTTACATACAAGACGTCAGATTGTGTGATCTATACCCCAGACTGTGTGTATGGTGGTGTGTTACATACAAGACGTCAGACTGTGTGATCTATACCCAGTGTGTGGTGGTGTGTTACATACAAGACGTCAGACTGTGTGATCTATACCCTATGTGTATGGTGGTGTGTTACATGTACAAGACGTCAGACTGTGTGATCTATACCCCGTGTATGGTGGTGTGTTACATACCTCAGACTGTGTGACGATCAGATTGTGGTGTGATCTATACCCAGATTGTGTGATCTATACCCCGTGTGTGGTGGTGTGTTACATACAAGACGTCAGACTGTGTGATCTATACCCCGTGTATGGTGGTGTGTTACATACAAGACGTCAGATTGTGTGATCTATACCCTGTGTATGGTGGTGTGTTGCGTACAAGACGTCAGACTGTGTGATCTATACCCTGTGTATGGTGGTGTGTTACGTACAAGACGTCAGATTGTGTGATCTATACCCCGTGTATGGTGGTGTGTTACATACAAGACGTCAGATTGTGTGATCTATACCCCGTGTATGGTGGTGTGTTACATACAAGACGTCAGACTGTGTGATCTATACCCTGTGTATGGTGGTGTGTTACATACAAGACGTCAGACTGTGTGATCTATACCCTGTGTATGGTGGTGTGTTACATACAAGACGTCAGACTGTGTGATCTATACCCCGTGTATGGTGGTGTGTTACATACAAGACGTCAGACTGTGTGATCTATACAATGTGTATGGTGGTGTGTGGCGTACATGACGTCCGACTGTGTGATCTATACCCTGTATGGTGGTGTGTTACATGTACAAGACGTCAGACTGTGTGATCTATACCCTGTGTGGTGGTGTGTTACATACAAGACGTCAGATTGTGTGATCTATACCCTGTGTGATGGTGTGTTACATACAAGACGTCAGATTGTGTGATCTATACCCTGTGTGGTGGTGTGTTGCGTACAAGACCTCAGACTGTGTGATCTATACCCTGTGTGGTGGTGTGTTACATACAAGACGTCAGACTGTGTGATCTATACCCTGTGTGTGGTGGTGTGTTACATACAAGACGTCAGACTGTGTGATCTATACCCTGTGTGTGGTGTGGTGTGTTACATACAAGACGTCCGACTGTGTGATCTATACCCTGTGTGGTGGTGTGTTACATACATGACGTCTGTCTGTGTGAAATATACCCGTGTATGGTGGTGTGTTACATACAAGACCTCAGACTGTGAGATCTATACCCTGTGTGGTGGTGTGTTACATACATGACGTCAGACTGTGTGATCTGTACCCTGTGTGGTGTTGTTTTTTTGTCCCTGTGTAACCAAGTCACCAATTAATGAAGGCGGCATCCATTCAGTGTTGAGAATGTCACTTCTCTCCCTGACTTGCCTTGCTCCTATCACTCATCACACCATCTATCAAAGGAAATGTTTGTAAACAACCTACCTTCTACGTAATCTGTAGTTGCCTTCCAGACCGTGTCGGTGGCTTCGTATGCCAGTACAATGAACGCTTTCATAGAAGGACCCACTAATCACACCACGTGCAGCTGATACTTTCCTGTACTACATGTAATCGTAATCTGGACTTACGGGAGTCATTCCTGGTGTCACAGATCCTCGTAGGTGAAATTCTTTAGGTAAATATGTTTCAACATACGAGTAATTATTCCATGGCCATACAGCAGGCTTACTGACCAGTACAGTTGGCAGGTGATTACACTAAATAAGCGGACCCCGTGTTTTACACGACACAGTCAGTATTCGGTATCCGTACAAGAAACGTGTTACCTTTACGTTTGCGTCCTTTTGGCCAAGAGTGAGAGTTGACAAGTTTTCTTGCGTTGCTTGACCACTTTTACACATCGCTCAGGTAGCGTCCGGAATCCAAGACCTCCTCCACTTCAAATTCGTGACTCGCCATGAAAAATTTCATTCGCCTCGCACAAACAGAGATCTGATCATATTCCGAAAATAAATGAGAAGACGAATGACTGTTTCACCTGCAATAAAAGTGTGTGACACGGCATAAGTATCTGTGAATGTTGCATGTGCTACTTGATGCAAAGGGGAATAACCGCCTCGGTGGCGAAACATAGGTAACGACAGGTAACTTTAGTGATTTGGGCACTGTGCCAGGTGTGTGTTTGAATGGTTCCATCTGAATGGACACAGCTTGACTACGGGGTTGCGGCGAGGACAAAGGGGTTCTTAAGGGCCTCGGGGATAGTGGTAGTTTTTCTCTACATGGAGTAGACAGTTAGATTGTATCAATTCATTGTGACTATCATTCCAGCAAGTGTAAGTGACATTTGATGTTGTTCAGCATGAATGGCGTGTATGGGGAAAATAGCTAGCGTGACTACCGTTAGTTAACCAGCCACCACAGGCACGCCAGGTGTCACGCTGTCACAGCGTCAGGCGGTGTTAGCGGGTTAGGAAGTACCACCTGGTCAGAGAATACATGTGATGACTCTACACAGAAATACTTTCAATGTTTCTACCAGTCATCCCTGGTCCGCCGCCTCACTGTCACTCACCTCAGAGAGAGAGAGAGAGAGAGAGAGAGAGAGAGAGAGAGAGAGAGAGAGAGAGAGAGAGAGAGAGAGAGAGAGAGAGAGAGAGAGAGAGAGAGAGAGAGAGAGAGAGAGCAGAAATGGCACAGATCAGTGTATGATCGCAGAATATAGAGTATGTCGTCCATTAGCAAAGAATAGGAATAGAACATAGCTACAAGAACCTTAGTGTCAGATATGAGAGCTGATTTTGCGCTCATTAACCGGACACATTCGTCGATATAAGTATGAGCCCATAATAAAAATAGTCAGAAACGTGGAACAAATTCCGAGGTGAGTATATAGGGTGGGAGCGGACTCTCCTTTTGGTTGCCGTATCGCTGTTTAATTGTGAGTCGAACTGCGACATCATATCCGTCGAAAAACATAAACCCAATGATTCCACCAGTGATGTTAGCCGAATGAAGCAACTGCAAACCAAGAAACGGGGTGCTACGGAGTAGTTTACTGTAGGAGGCTGTACGAGGCGATGGCAACTGACATGCATCGTGACGTCGGTTACCAAGGCAGTGACGTCATTACAGTGTGACGTCATGCAAATATTGTACTACAGTATAAAACTCTTCCGCAACCTCTTTATGAAACCGGTTTCGGTTTGAAACCATAAAAATAACAAAAAAACGCTATTTTGTCAATTTAATGCATGTAAGACGTGGGTAATAAATAAAATACCACACTCGGTCTCATTACATACGAATTATACGAAACTCGTGACCTTCCTATGTTATCTGACCTCGCTTTCGCAAAGGAAGGACACTCGTTGATGGTAATGCTGATGAAACATTTATTAAAACTCGAAAAATACAATTATACGATTTTTCCTCCACAATTATTAGGGGACCTCACTATCATAATTATTACCTTCTATTATAAAAATATTCAAACTCAATTACAATACACAGCCCCAAACATAAACAAACAATATCTAACATATAAATCAGAAAACCTTGTAAAAATACATCCCTATCTATCCCTATTTGTGCGGCAAAACGTTCGTAAACATTTACCTACCTGGTAAATGGTATATTTGTTTCCGTTTAGAATGAGAAATTCGCAAGATAACGGTCAGGCGAAACACAAAATTTGCCGCTCATGCTCCATCATGTCCCGTTGCATCGTTCAAAATGTCAAAAACTGAATTCAGTTCTCGGCCACCTTCCCCGAAGGCTGTTCTGCTATGTTCTTACACTTTGAAAAGCTTGGCCACAATCCAGTCCCAAATGATGAGAACAATGTTCCAAGGAATCCCAAGTTAGTCGCATGTACACAAAGCTGCACTGTCACTCTTCCTCGCATGCCAAGGTGGAGGCACGTACGTGAAATCATGATCGACACTCGCCGGTAGGGCTGCGCAATATAACCGGTTTACCGGTATTTACCGGTTCAGACATGAAAACGATACGTATTGCGATACGCTGATCGAAAACCGGTTTTTTTACTCGCATTCGGAAAACTTCGTAACACTCGGAAATGTTCGGATATTTCCTTTTTTCATTTGTGCCAAATATTATTCACATTTTTATTTTTAATCATGAATAAAAGTTGTTATTTAAGCTTAATCAAGCATAGTGATTTTGCTGTGTATTTGCTCTATAAATCAAGAATTACCTCGATTGTAAGTAGTTTTTTGTTTAAAAATACTTCATGCAATATATTGCAATACATATCGCAATACATGCTTTCGCATCGCAATATATCGCAATATGGAAATTCTCTGCAATACCCACCCCTACTCGCCGGTCATAAAAATCAACAGTCTTTGATGAGTTACAGGTTATAGGTCGATCAGAAAAGGGTGTATTCTTCGATTCTGCAGGGTTCAGGTTCGACAGTCAATCAAGTATTTTCCACTGTCACTTCGAATTTCAACCTTTCGCAAAATGTAAACACTGGCTCGTCCGCCATTTCAAACTGTTGCGTAACTGTCTACTTCCAAGAAAATAAGTAGGTCAGACGATTCCATTATACTGTGGCCAGGGGGATACAGTAATACGGCACACAAAACAATAGGCTGGTTTCGGTCTTGTGGAGTTATGATTATAAAAACCAAGCTCTTAGGTGTTACATTATTGCATTGAATAAACAGAAGTTTGTTTTCTTTGGACAGAATATTTTTTATGTTGCAATATTTAAAAAATATGAACGGTACCTACCACTCCTTTATCAGACGAGTTCAATTCGCCTCTCATACCATGCCGGATTGCGCAGTGTCTTCCGCAGGACGAGGAAGTTCGATGTTAAATCTGTTATGGTAGAATGGAGATAAACATACTTTGTTTGGAAATTAGATGAATGTTAGACCGAATTGATAGTCTCTATATTAATCATTTGAAACCTCACGCTACGCGTTCGGCTTCAAATAAAATCCTAAATGAATAGAGCTATGTATAGCGTACTGCCCTGAATAGACAACACCTGCCAGCCCGGTTTGAACTGAGCGCGCTTGACAACTCACGTGACTCCGTCGTATCAAATAGCCCGCACTCGGTTCCGTTCTGGGAGATGGAATGTAGAAATGTATTACTTGTATATAACTCAGATTTATACAGAACATGATGTATCCTGTACAAGTCCTATACCTTGTGCCAACATTACAGATGAAATAAGATGACAATCCAGTGTCAGTTCTGACACAAGCACATACTGATGAATACATCTTGACCAGAAATTTCATAAATTTCCCCTTCACAACAATGCTTATAAGACTCTTGAACAATATTTGATGATTAATGCAGTCAAAAGCTTTAGTAAAGTCTATGAACAAACAATAGAATCTCCCCTTGTTCTTTGATAAATACTTGATTGCCATAGCTTGTAAGGTGAATATATGATCAGTGGTTGAATAACCATGTCGAAAGCCTGCTTAGCACTCTGAGATTAAATTGTTGTCATCACACCACTCTTGTAACTTGTTGATTATTGAGGTAAGAATTTTACACATCAAAGAAATACCTCTTAAATTGTTTGGGTCCAGTTTGCTTCCAGATTTATGCAAGGGGCAGATACTACTCTTTCCCCAAGTCTCAGGGTAAATGCCATCTTCAAATAACTTATTGAATAGTTTAGTTAATAATGGTGTAATATAACTTTTAGAAGCCTTGAAAAAGTCACCAGCTATCCCATCTGATCCTGCTGCTTTGCCACTCTAAATGTTTTGAGGACTAGAAAATACTTCATGTTCTGAAAAGGGATCATTCAACTGTGATACCAGGTTGTCATTAATGTCATCACACAATGTCTCATCAATAACATCATTGACAGATTCACAATGTATAACGTTCTGAAAGCATCAAGCCATTCTTTCACAGGAATATTAGGAGTGTCTGAGCGAGAAAGTGAGTTTGATTTTAATACACTCCAGAATTGTTTAGGGTCATTTCTTGAGTCACTACGTTTTCCCCTTTGATCTTGAAAATATAGGTCTTTCTTCTGTTGAAATGTAGATTTAAAAAGTTTCTTTTGATATATATACGATTCAATGTTTTCACCCCTTGACCTATGTGCTCTAAGAGCTGAGTATTTCTTTTGTCATTTGTCTTTTGTATTTGTTTGACATGCTCTAATTCGGGTTCCCACCAGGGGGCTGTTTGGAATTCACTGGAAGAAAATTATTGTAAACTCTCTTTAATTTATCTGCTGCAGCCTGGTAGAGATCAGTTAATGCTTTGACACTTTCTTCCACATTTTCTTCAATCTGTTTATGTATTGTGTCATACTGCATTATAAACAATTCATGAAAATCAGTTAAAAATATGTTGCACATATCAGTGGACTAGTTGTATTTTATCCATGCCTCTTAATCCATCTTGATAATACTACCCTACTCTTGGAATCGCTCATCAAAGGAATTAAAACATAAAAATAGGCGTACATACAACGACATCTGTGACATGATTAAACTAGCCAGAATCAGCCACCATAATAAACATGAAATTCATGAACAGAAAATAAGTGTGGTACATTCAGAGGGAGAACACTGGTCTGAGTGATTTTACGCACGCATCACCAAGATGTCTGGCTGCAGTAACTGTTGTGTCGCATGAATAACGTCCTTATGTTCAGAATTGTGAGGTCTTTTTTTTCAGCCGTATCAGCTTCAATGTGGATGTTACCGTTTCATTTGATGGACATCTAGTCAGCATGTTGGACTATTCATTGTTACAGCATATATAGATGAGGATGTTGTCCGAGTGACAAGCCACAG